CGGCAGACAAGGTGTGGGGGAAACTAAAAAATGGCGGAAAATTGGAAGCACTGAACGTTAGATCTATAGAACGAAGACACTTCCTTTTTTCCGGACCCGTGTCCGAATAACATTTTTTCTTATTCGGACTCTAGTCCGAATATGAATTTTTAAAATTTGGACTCGATGTGTAGATCTTTCCTACCAGAAGATCAGGGGTGTGGCCGAAAGACATTAGACAGCAGTAAGAAGGAGCCAAGGAGTAGCAGTAGAGAAAGGCTGCAGAAAGAGTCAGGAGCCCAGAGGAGGGGGCAAAGGAGGTGAGGGGGTGGGGGAGAAAGTGGAGGCGAAAGCAGACTACAGAATATTGCAAGAGAGAAGGAAAGAAGGTGAAAGGAGACAATTATAGAGAAGAACATTTTCCCGTCGCAACCCCTATTTGAACCCGGGACCTTTGAATGAGAGGCGAACACCTGAACCTCTAGGCCACGAGACCCCCAAGCAAAATTTAAACGAACATATTTCATACTTCTGACATCTAGTCAGTCATTCAATACTTTGAATTCTGTCAAGTGATTTACTAATTTTACCCAAGCATGTTAAGTGTAGCTTATTGATGGTCTTTTTTTTTGTTTATTCCTGCCAGAGAAATAAAAACTACAGTAACCGTCTCCAATGGCACAAGACGAGCTCTGACTGACGGGAAATGCAGGCTTTTGCTTTTAGAGACTTTGTCTCCAGGTGTATATGCTGACCCGTTTCAGCTGAAGTCACTGGAACCATTTGGGGGTCCAAAGGTAAAAGCAATTTTCTTCTTATCATGTAGTCAGCTTTTTTAAAGATTTGTTCATGCATGAGTTTATTTCTCAAGTACACGTAGATACAAAAAGGTTATTTTGAAGAAAAGTCTCAAGAGGTCAATTTTTTTTTTACTACACCACCCTCTCAAGAGATGGATCAACATGCAAGTTTATAAAGTTTTTATGTCTGGTAAAAATATTTGTTGTGAATCCTAAATGGAAATGTTTATGCTGACCTCAGCTGAACTGGTTGTTTACGTTTTTTGACTGTCCGGTATGCCCTGGGTAATGGTAATAGTGAAGGACCTCTCCTCCTGTTTGTTTTGGCTTAGTTTGTGAATGATCCCCTAGATGTACCACAAAGTTTTGAGTTTCCTCTGTACTGTTTAGCAACAGGTGTTATATTTTTAAGCTTTGCCTTCACCCAGGTTTCTGGTGACCAGGTGCATTTCAGGTGTCACATGTATTGTTACAGTCCCTTCGTGGAAAATGTTCCTTCTTTTCTTACTCCTTATCATTACTATGGTCTCTATGCTCCCTTCATTAAGTTGAATTGTTGGTTTTAGAGGATGCAAGACCAGAATACTTGCAGGATTTTCCAAAGGTACTTTGTTTGGAATGTGATACATGTATCTAGATGGCTTTTTAGTATCCTTTGTCATTTTCTGAGTTTTAGATCCGGATAGAAATTACTCAGCTCTGATGCAACACCTTGGTGCTGGGTGCCATGCTGGAAAGATCTCCACTCAGTCTTGTGCATTTTGGCTTTGCTCTGACCTTCCCCTCCTTCCAGTCTTTTAGAGCTTCTCAGGAGAGGGTAGATCTGATTCATCTTCTTGTACTGGTGCGGGTTGGGGGATGTTCTTTTTCATTTAACTGATTACCTCAACTTGTTTGTTGTGACATTGTCTGGAGATTAGTTGTCCTCTTTATACACTCATGAGCGGGAGATCAGAGTTTACTCATTGGCAAGCAAAATCCAGACTTTTCCATACTGAGACTATCGCGTCTGCTGGTGTCTGTGGAAGTAGGGATTGATTTTAACCCCGATTTATATTATAATCTTCTCATATACCTTTATGCCTGCCTGCCTGCCTACATACGTACCATACATACATGTCAATATATATTCATATATATATATAATATAAGTATGTTATCATTCAAATTATTTGTGGATCTTGCTCCCCAGGTTGCCTTTTCTGCAGAAGTGGATTTAGAGGCAACTGCTGATCAGAGTAAGCCGCTTGAGATAAACATTTTCATCGATATATACAGTACAGATGAAAAGACTCCCAATGAATGGACCATAGGTCTGCCTGTACATGGTCGCTATCATCGACCATCATTACATAAGGGTGCATCTTCAGTAGAAGTCATCATCCTCAATCCAGTTCTTTACTCCAGTTGTTCTTTTCCTGGTAAGTTCCTTAATACAGTGAAACCTCATTAGACTGACCTCCATTATACCGTGAACCCTGCTTATTGTCACCTTTTGCCAATGCATGAAAAGGGACTCATACATAAACATTCTATTTGCCCTTTGAAACTGCCATCAGCCAACCACCTTACTAAACTAATGTAAATTTCCATGCACAATTGCCTATGAACTGGCCTCTAGTGGTACATACTACACAGAGCACTGCACTGATATAGCAGATGTGCAGTGATAATCTCCTTTTCTCTCACATATGACTCTGCAAACTAGCAATCATTCATGCAGGAAGCCTGAAAGCCACCTCACCAAGTTTTGGACAGAGGTAAATAACTTATTATATTCTTGTCCTCCACGTAGTCAAAATGGAATCATTTCCCTTGACATCATTAGGCAGTCAGTGCTACAGGTGCTATTATTGTTAAGCCCGTTATACTGCCACCCTGCTACACTGCCAGTTTCATGCTCTGTTAACGGTATAACGGGGTTTCATGGTGCTCTATAAATGTTACTGCATGTTCTATTGTTGTCTGAATGCATGCTATGAGCTCAATTCAGTTTATTATTCAACTACCTGGGTTTCCCGTTCGATGAACGGACTCAAAAGAATCAATCATCAAGTTATTGTGGGAGCAGTGCACTCACTTTTTGTGAACGGAAGCCTCACTGGTTTACAATGGCATCTTAGAAGACGGACTTCCCCAAGATTAGATCTGAACGAAACTAATGAAAAACTGAAAATTAAACTACAGTGACTTCAGACTCCTTAGTAAAACTGCACCCTTTAAATGATTCTGAATCACTGTTATTTTTTTTCAGATTCGGAAGTTAAGTGGTTCGGAAGTTTTAGGTGGCCAAAGTGACGGACTTTCACAAATGTAATATGTATAGATTACAATGCCGACTGCTCAGGGTCAATAAATTCTGCAGGTCTATGTGAATATTTAGGAGTTTTTGTTCGCTTAGGGTCCAGTTCTCCTAACATTCCGCTTTGTCCTGATTCCTGAGTGTTGAGATCTGAGGCGGAGACAACTACATAATTGTCCAATGTGTGTTCGTTTGTGTTGACATTTAGAAGAGGGACCGAATAGAAAGGAAAGGAAGAAGACAAAAGTGGTTTCAATTCACTACACACTGTATACTGTTTACAACTTTGGTTCCATACTGTTTTCAACTTTGGCTCCAAAATTGGCTGGTAAAACAGAAATAGCAGGTTTCCAGTTAGTGATTTTATGCTGCGATTGGCATATAACTTAGCAACTCAGTGGAAAAGTATAGGTGAGCTACAGCAGTTAATGGTGTTCCAAGTTTACTTTCTCTGACTCAGTTCTCAAAAGGGCTCTCCACCTTTTGAACTATCACTGTTGCAGACTTCAGCCATTTCTCCCTCTCCTCTGCAGTCCCATACAAGCTTGAGATTAAATATATCCTCCATGTGCTCATCCCAGTGAGCACCTAGATCACAAATATTTTCAGGCTTTGCTTAAGTTCTGGAGAACAAACCCTGTATGAGAATACACTTGTCCTCAGAGAAATTCGCGCCAGCAACCCGCAACTTGTGCATGCAACTTTTGTCCTCAGCGCAACTTTTGCCATTTTCTTGAAATCGCACATTTTAGCCAATTTTTAACCAAAGTTGGAAAAATGATAAAAAAGTTCCTTTAAAAATAGGCCTCATCGAAACTTTCGTTCATGACTGAAAATAACAATGCCAAGGGGGGCAATTCGTACCTGAAATAGATCTACCACTTCCTTTGCTTACCTTGCTTGGTTCTGTAGCACCAGGTAGATAGATTTAGTATAAAGATTTGTGAAAGACTTTAAATCTTAGGCCAGGAGGGTAGATTAAGACAATGATCGATTCATCCAGAAAACCCCTAAAGGGGACTTTCAAATATAATCTGACG